AGAATCTTTCCTGGTATTGAGGTTAGACTGATAGGTCTGTAGTTTCCTGGATCTATTTTTTTCCTTTTGGGAACCACATCAGCTCTTTTCCAGTCCTCTGGTAGTTTACCGGTGTGATATAATTCAGTGGTTCTGAGATCTCGTCTGCCAGTTCCTTCAGAACCCTGGGGTGTAATCCATCTGGTCCTGGTGATTTGAACTCGTCTAGGGTAGACAGGTGCTCACTTGTCATTTTCTTCCCTATTTCAACTTGTGTTCCTTATCTGATATTTGTGGTGCTGTTTTTGATAGGTTGGACTGTTTTATCCCTAATTTTCTTCTGTTACAGTTGAACCACCAAATAATTTTGAATTCAGATTTTTCCCTTGTACTATTCTGAACCAGTTCCATTTCTTTCTACTGTACGTAGCTTTAGCTATAGCATTCAACATCAGATCTCTAAATCTATCATTAGAGTTTACACAAAGTTCCACATCGTATCTTTTGCATATTGCAAAATAAAATATTTTTTTAAAAAATACTTCTAGAAAATCTGTGCTAAACACATATATCAAAATAAAGATGTAACCGTATGCTTAATTTAAAGAATGGTGAACTGTTGTCTGTGAAGTTAGCCTTAAACCCCAGTCTGAGGCATAGCTGTGTGACCCATTATCCATCCCCCTGAGAGTTAATGCTTTAATCTTTGTTGGCTTTTCCCCAGAATGTTCATCATATGCATGGAATCTGTTAGTTGAAGAGAGGAGTGGATGGTGTTGGATTACAGATTCAGAGTTTGAACAGCAGTTATTAATATGCAACAGTGTTGGAATGAAGTGTTGTGTTTCAAATGATGCCTAGCAACATGCCAATCCAGAACTGGTTCAGATATGCTGTGTTGTATTTCAGAGACTGGTTGAAAAAAATAATTTGAAGGCAGGGTATTTTGTTCCCTTTCTCTACATTTTATTCTCATAGTTAAGAATAAACATTTTGGAGTATCTTTGGAGAACAGTTTGTAAATTCTGTCCTAGAAACAAGCATAATTATAGGGATTGTGATAGATGAAACAATCTTATTTTCTCAGGTATCTTTCCCTGTTGCCTTCAGTTCTTGCTGAGCAAAGGTATATAAAATTATAACTAATATAGCACAGTTATAGCTAGTAAATAGCTATATAATAGGCAGAGACTAGGGGCAGGGGCTTTTTTGGCTTGGGGTTAAACAGTTTAATCATGAGGTGGGAAGGGAAATCCACAACATTTCATCTCTGTTTCATGTACTTAACTGAGGACTATTTATTATAGCAGAATTTCATTCTGCTTATTCTATGTTAATATAATACTGGTTGTCATTATAAAACTCTAATATGCTTCAACTTCAAATAAAATTATACTAGATGGATACCCAAAATTGCAGGTGCAACAAAATGTTGTATACTTTATTCCAGAATTTGCCACAAAACAAGTTTAGTAATTTTTTGGGTTGTGTTCATCCATAGAAACTATGACATCTTTTTACCTTGATTTATGGAATAGAACCACGAAACAATTTCAGACTAAACAATCGAATACATTTTGTTCCATTAAAAAATCAGCCAGAAAGACCCAGTTGTGGCTTGATCTCAATTATAACTATTATTGTGTCTCAAGTTCAGATGCCAAATGGAATGACTTTCTGGACTGTAGGGGAAGTTGTCAGTTCAGCTTGAAATGTATATGAAAATACTTTTTATTCATAAACATTTGATGTCTTCCCCACCCGGAGTCTTCCGAGAGTGGGCGGCATACAAAAACAATAAATAATAATAATAATACTAATAATAACAACAACAACAACAACAACAACAAATACAGTCCAAGTATTCAGCACCAATATTTCAATGCAGTTTGGCATGGAAAAATGCGCCACTGTATCCTTAAAAATAGGCAAAATCACTGCATGTGAGGGAATTGAAATGCCCAATGGCCAATTAATTAAATGCAAAGAAAATGAAGCCTACAAATACTTAGGCATTCTGCAGTTGGATAACATCAAGCATGGAGAAGTAAAAACTGTTGTCAGGCGAGAGTACACCAACAGAGTTAGGAAAGAGTTAGGAAAATTTTGAAATCTAAATTGAATGGTGGAAATACAATCAAGGCCATAAATACCTGGGCAATACCAGTTATAAGATACACAGCTGGTATAGTTAACTGG